ATTTTTAACATAAACATGCCACAATAATCATAAAGATGCCATAGCCTCCCTAATTTAAGCAAGTAACCAGGTTTAGCTCCTAGGACGTGCCCACATTTTCATCCTTCACATGCGAATATCTCAAAAATATATGAAAGTAAAGTAAACTAATATGCTGTATCCTCCATTTAAACGAGCAAGAGGAGGCTCGACAGGGAGAAATCCCCAGGAAATCAGGGCATAGGAAAGAAAGGGAAGAAGAAGTACCTCCTCAATGCAAACGTAAAGCACAGCAACACAAGAAACCACCTCAAAGAAATGCTCTCCCAGAAACTCCCTTGCCAATTCCCCTCACAGCCGAAATTTCCACTCCTCTCAAAAAAACTTTTCTCAACAACCTCAAAAATTTCAAAAGGAACTGTGTATATAGGCCGAGAATAGAGAGAAGAGAAAGAAGACCACCCTCAACAGTCCACAGCACTCGAATTGGGCCAAAGAAGAAAAGGATACGCTCCCTGCTCACAGAAGGCGAAGCCACCGAAGTCTCTCGGACCGAGCGGCGAGACTAATGGCAGCGAGGGAAGTATCGAGAAGAGGAGAAGAAATGTCATTCCAGTGTACCAGGGAACAAGCTTCCCAGAGTCAAACTACCGAGAAAAGAAAATTCGCGGCTCAAGGAGACTGGCGCGGCTTCGAGAGGGAAGGCCGCGGGCAGAAAAAAGTCAGGGAAGGACGGACGCGAAGTCAACTTTCTCTCGCGCGAAGGAGAAAGGGGCTCGCTCAGCTCGAGACCGAGAAAGGGAAAGCGCCAGACACGCGAACGGGAGAAGGGAGGGAGACAGTGCACGGACGCTAATTAAAACACAATTTACTCGCGCGCGGCGACGCGACAAAATGGGTGTCCTCCCCTGGCAAAGTCGACGTTCCGGACGCGCCGGTGCAGTCCGTTTTGTCATCCGGGGTCGCTCGGACGACGTCGTCGATAATCGGGTCAAAAACACGTCGAAATTCAAATTTTATTAAATTTCGTCCCGCGATCGATCGTCCCAAAAGGTTTATTCGAGTCTTTGACGGGTAACAGTGCAAGCGATGCGAATTGTGGCGATCGGACGTGTCGACTCTCCGAAGTGCGAAGTTTTGTGCGCGAGAGTGGGAATTGTGCAAAAGGCCACCTTAAGGCTCAGGAAGGTCCTATAGGGAATCCCTTTTGGGTTTCCTCATGTTGGTTTCATCCTTCTAAGTGTTAGAAGTTGATACCACACACGCGAAACTCTAGAAGAGGATGGAAGCGGGTTGAATTTCTAGAACAAGGCGGGTCCCATTTCTAAGTTTCTAAGATAGTCGAAGGGAGGTCCCTAAGGCTAGATCTCCCTAAGGCTAGGAGGTCCCTAAGGCTAGATCCTAAATCCTAAGAGAAAGATTAGACCTCACTAAAAATGAGGTCAACACATGTATACAATGATTAAAACATGCTTTTCATGAACTACCATCTCAACTACCAGCCTAGAGTATTTAAAGCAGACCCAACAGAAACATTAAAGGCCTAGTAATCGATGGCCACGCCGCTATGAACCAGTTAAGACAAAACGAAGCCTTATACATGCATTCCCTTATTTTAACGTCTCTAGCATGCGTCGAGCATGGAAGAAGAGCAAAAGAGAGGAAACATACCTTGCTCGGGCTTCTGTAATCAACAAAAGAAAGCCACAACACTCCTAAACCTTAAGCTCACAGGCAAAGCCACTGCACTCCCAGACTCCAAGCTCACAAGCGCCTAGCCGAGAAACGATTCCCGCGGAGTCTCTCCCACGCTCCCAAAATTTGTAACCTCACAGCAAAACCCCCCAACGGCCTCTTATACACGCAGAAGAGAGGAAATAAAAGAAAAGAAAATTTTCCAAAGGGTCGGCCAACCCAGCGCTCGTCCCAGTAGAAAGGAAATCATCGCAGCCAAGGCCACAGAGGAATGAACTATCGGGAAGGAGGATTGCCACATTCGTGCCTGAAGGAATAAGAATGCCAGAGTCACCCTACCATGGAATGGATTCCCGCTCAGCGAGACGAGGTAAAAGAAACTTCGGGAAGCCGCAGCTCAGGCAGAGGATGTCGAGAGAGGCGAGGTCAACTCCTCGTTACACAAAGAGGGGAAATAATCCCAGAGGAACAAGTGATTAGGGCTCAATCCAAGCCCAGGCACGAAGAAAGGAACCGAGCCGAATGTAGAGGCGAATTAGGGATTTAGGAAAGGTTAAAGTCCCCTCCCTCTTAACATGTCTTATATTATCTTAATATCTATATATTAATAATATAATATAATGTAGTTAAATCTCCCGATTTGCGTATGATTTGACATATCAAAATGTGTGTTTTCCCTAACTAAACTCGATG